GTGACTCAATCGTGACTTTAAACTCATTAGTCATGGCTTTCGCTGTAGTTATCAATGAATGGTGTCATTAAATATGCATTAAAACTCATATCTTGCTGCGGGAGTGCTGATCGGTTCGGTAAACACAGATCAGCGTTTTTAATCAGACCGATTCTGGACAAGACGCACTCTGCAGCACAATAACTGTTTCAGAACCACACTTACGTGGACAGCTCCGGTAGTTTGGCAGTCAAATCTCTTTTACCTTAGGCTACCTAATCCACATTTCATGCACGTAGCCAGCCTTTGGAAAGCCTGCTCGCTTCTGTATTGTCATTATCCCCATTTCAAAAATCTTGCTCAAGAGAATCCTATAGGAGAAATCAGACCAAATTAAATTGAATTAAATATTAACCAGGAATACAAAAGAAATTTAATATCGTCCCTAAATTATGCCAAGTCACCATGGTAACAAGGGATGCGATAACTTGCCCTGCAGTTTGTGAAGAGCGTTACAATAGACATGTTACTGTGATTGTCGTTAATCAACTGTGAGTAGTAACAGGCATGTTTTTGTATTTGGACTGTATTGCGGAAGAGGGAAGAAGAACATTGTCGTTGTAATATGATTTCACAAATCGAGTCACTCTGTCTCAGTGAGAGATCTGTCCTGCAGGTGACTACCCGTGCTACCCTATATGCATACTCGTTTGTAAATAAGAAATGCAGACATTACGCTGTCTAGTTTTCCTGGGACAAAACGTTACGTCTGGTCGGTGCAGATGTCATTACTTGATTTGCACAAATACATTTTTTTAAAAAGGAGACGCTTGGTGCTTGCATGGCACCAAAACCGCGGGTGCCGTTTAAATTATGGCGCAACCCTGTCAACCTGATAAACACATGCAAAACATGTCTTGACGACTAATCTCCCAAAAGACAGCTGACCAAGGTGCTGCTGGCCAATGAACAGTTCACCCCAATGTCGGATCCACGCAAAAACGCATATAGTCAAACGCAGCAAAAGACGTGAATCACTATGTCTCCTAATCCCAAGCAACCGGACGGCGCACTCACATCAATATTTAAATAAATCTACAAGCAGCGTCCAAAAGCCGAGCGTTTTTTTAAAAATAATTACTTAATATAAATTAATGCAGTGTAAACAGATCATAGCTGCGTCTTCATATTTTGGTCATCCCCGTGGCGTGGTCAACACGTGTGCTCTTACCTGTCTCCAGGCTGAAGGAGATGCTAGTCTCGCTGAGGTATGGGGTATCGCTCTTGGACCGGACTCTTCTGATGGGCCGGCGGTCGATCTCCTCCTCCGAAGCGGCCGCCATTAATTTACGGGCACCGCTGTCTGAACGAGGGAGGGCAAAGAGCCGCCAGTGGGTCTCAGGGCAACGTTTGGAGGGGGAGAAAGACAGGAGCGGGGAGACAGGAAAAGGGAGACGTGGCAACAAACACCCAAACGACTGCAGAAGGGAAGGCAGTGAAATATAAGCAGATCCCGCCCCTTTGATTCACTAGAGTGATGTAGACCATTTAGACCGAACAATAAGGACTGCTGAGTGAGCTGGGGGTGTCATTAAAATCAGCATAAACAACATTTCAAAATAACGGGACCAATGCATAATTTATAGTGCTCTAAACGGCGTCTTGGCACGTGTAAATGATATGGGGCTGGGTACATTTACGAAACAGTAAAATCACATTTAAATAATATCTTCTGTCACTGGATGTATATTTCAAATGTGTCTTTTACGTGCAAAAGCAGTGCACCTACCAGACATGGTGACATGGGAAAATATTAAGAAATTATGACAAAAGATGTAATCGGCTGTTACACATTGTCAGGAGTCATTAGTTTCACTATTTTAGCAAATCAAGTCGTGTGTATATTTTAGGACATTTCATGTGTCAAATTTAAAGACGCACAAATCACTCCAAATTTCACTGAAAATCCTGCTGGACAAAGTACATTATGATAACATTTCTTCTGAATATTAAAATATTGTGTCAAAAAGAAAAAAAAAGCCAGATTGTCGGTGAGGATGTGATACGTTTGAGTATAACGCAGATTGGCAGTACGCTTATTTTTCTGAGGAATACGTTCGTCTAGCTCTGAATGAACAACTGATATATAGATCCATTACTCTGTATATTTCATTTGAATAATTTACTACTCAGTCCTGAAACTCTGCATTCATCGCAATGTCTACCGTTAAATTACAAACATACTGCTGATATTTGGATCATATTAAATGTGCCCTCAGATAACCTTAATAATTTCAGAACAATATTAGCTATAGTGCCATCTTGTGGGCTACAAGATAAAAGCACAAAAAACTAGCTTAAATTGATATCATGTAATGAATGTATAGGCCTACTTCTTTCTGTAAACAGGGAAATATTAACTCTGGTGTTTCGTAGTAGTTTCTATTCAGATCTAAGACCAGATTGTACAGAATAATGACATTTGCCATTGTTTTTTTGTATCCTTCAGCAAATTTACAGAAGTATACCTTAAAATACAATACATAAAATGTTAACTTGTGCTGTTGTTAACTTGCCAAATATGTTCACTTAAATCTGTATTCCAATGTCATATGCTAAGATGGTGTGTGGGTATGTACATGGAATAATACCAATTTATATTTAAAAACACAACTTTCTTAAAACCATAATTATTACAGGCCTATATATGCTTTAAACTGTATACACTTGTCAATTACAAGGTGTGGAAGTTGGTTTTATGGACTAACGACTAACAACTGATTTGAAATATTTTGACCTGACCACAATGAGGGGCTCTTCTGTCTGGGTGTAGGTGGGTGGCTTGTTCCACCATCAAGAATACATGCATGAACCCATTTCACTCAACGCAGAGATCACCAGGTGACTTTCACTTGCTGACCACAGAAGGCAAGATGGAACTCGATGTGACTTGGTGCTGTTCCATCAAAAGCTATGACAGCAAGCATATATATAGTGTAAAGCACTTTTATCCAGGGTGTGCCTCTGTCTTATGCCTTATGCTGCATGGGATAGCCTCTAAGACAGGGCTGCTCAAATCATTGTCCTTAAAGTCTGAGCACTGCTGATTTTCCAGCCTTCCTTTACCTGTGAGCCAGGTGTAAAGCCTCTGGCCAATCAGAATCAGTAATTATTAAACTAACTACTTGGGAGAACTGAAAACATGGCCGGGATTTGGAATCGAGGTTCAGATTTGAAGAACCCTGCTCTAAGACCTTGTTTTTCCCAAATCGGGATACAAGTTTGGAAAATGGATTGATAGATGATTTTAAAAAATCACGAAAAAGATCTAGGGTTGAACAACGAAACTGAAACACTGGCCAAACTGGTGTTTGAGATTTTCACGCATGTATATGTGTGGCCTGGTGGCCAGTCTTAACTGATTTTATCAGCATGAGCAGAGTGTGAAGGTTGAATTAACAGAGCAATAGCACAGCTGTACATAAAATGTTGCAATCCACACAACATAATGGGAGTCATATCAGAGTTCAAAAGGGGACAAATTGTTGGTGTGCGTCTCGCTGGTGCGTCTGACCAGGACAGCAAGTCTTTGTGGCATATTAAGAGTCACAGTATCCAGGGTAATGTTGGCATAGCACCATGAAGGATGGTTGCCCAGGTACGAGCCCAGATTGTATCCAAAAAACATAAAACCACAGCTACCAACTCACTGCAGAATTAGATCCGCACCTCGACTCTTCTGTTTCCACCAAAACTGTTTGTTGGGAGCTCCACAGGGTCAATGTTCATGGTCGGGCTGTTATAGCCAAACCTTTGGCCACTTGTGCTAAATCCAAATGTTGGTTTGAATTATGCCAGCAGTGCAAATCCTGGGCTGTGGACCATGTGAAACATGTATTGTTCTCTGCTGAGTCCACCTTCACTGCCTTTCCCACATCTGGGAGAGTTAGTGTGGAGAAGCCCCAAAGAGGGTTACTACCCAGACTGTTGCGTACCCAGAGTGTAGGACAGGGGTGGATGAGTGATGGCTTGGGCTGCAATATTATGGCATCTCCTATGCCCACTACTTGTTCTAGAATGGCGTGTCACTACCTAGGACCACCAATCCATTCTGGGGGACCATGTTCACCCAATGGTTCAAGCATTGTACCCTGAAAGTGGTGCCATGTATCTTGTTGATAATGCACCAACACTCACAGCAAGACTGGTGAGTGGTTTGATGAACATGAAAGTGAAGTTGAACATCTCCCATGGCCTGCACAACCACCAGATCTAAATATTACTGAGCCACTTTGGGGTGTTTTGGAGGAGCGAGTCAGGAAACATCTTCCTCCACCAGCATCACCTGGCTACTGTTCTGCAAGAGGAATGACTCAACATCTCTCTGGTCACTGTGCAGGACTTGTATCTGTCAGTCCCAAACCAAAACGATGCGGTATGAGGCCCTACATGATACAAATACATTTTTGTGATCTAAAACCAGGTGTTTGAGTTTCATTGTTTAACTCCTATATGAGTCTATTGTCCGGTACATACTAGCCTTGCGTGTCAGTCACGCTGTGTAACGGTATGGTCGCAATGTGGGAGTACTAACTAACCTACATTCGCTAGGGGGCGAACTGCGCTTAACTTACGCTTTTCCCCTCTCGGTGGTTGTTTCGTCTTTCCTGTTGGGCGACATGTGGGGCGCGTTTCTCTTCACATCGCAAGAAGCACAGCGGTCAAACGTGATTGGCTGGAATTTGTAATGAAACCGATTAGGACCACTCTGGAGTGACATCGGACCGTCCGCGAACGGAAAAGAAACGGAATGGATTACGAGGCACGGCGACTTCTGTCGGAAGTCTTCACTTTCAAGTGAGGAAGGGTAAGAAAGGTCTTACGCACAGCTTGGAAAAAAGGCGTCTGACTAACGTGCCGAGGTGCATGGGACTTCTCCACCGAGTCAGATGTCTAGCATTCTCAAAAGAGGATAGACCTATGAACACTAAGGACATCGTCTATTAAACACTGACTTGCTAAATTTTAAAGTTTGCAGGACAACCTCGATATTTAAAAAATAACTAGATGTCTGAGTGCTCATAAACGTCTCCGATGGGCTGCTGTGTCTGTAGATAGTAGATTTTAGTTCTATTTCCGCCTGTTTAAATTGACTGCATTGTACTATACTAAAGTATATCATCCCAAAACTATCATCGTAACTTGGGAATGCACCTGCGTGTCCTAACCACGCCGTTTCCCGCCCCTTATTTTAATATATGCCGTTAATTAACACTGTCCACCCAGAATAAGACGCTACGTGAGGGACGTGACCTTTTTTTGTGTTGGATTTATACCCATCGGTTAAATCGGCTGTGTCTCTATGGCCGGACAGTGATTAAATATCGGTGAAAGATCACCTTATTATTTAGACAAGAAAATAAAATTCCGACACATATCATTGCACGGTTTCTTTTATTTCTATACCAGGTAACAGTAGCTTTTTTTCCAACGACGTAATGCTATATTTACATTGAAACGTGGCACTGGTATTGTTTATAAAGAATTTAAATCGCTTGCTTATTATAATATTGATTTGTCAGGTAGACACCTTATACACTGCATGTATTTCTTGGACAAACAGTTGATCCTAGGCGTTTCCAGTATATATACGCAAAAAAACGAGGAAGCTGACGTTATTAACGTATGTTTCTCCGTATGTGAGCGGGGTTCCGGCTTCAGGTGAGCAGTTAAGATTTATGATTTCTCTTATTTCTAACCCCCCTCACCCGGTTTGCAGGGCTGTGCAATAATCGCGATGCTTCTCAGACAGCTCGTCCCTCGGAGGCTTGTCGCCCATCTGCGCTACGGAGCCGGAGAAGCAGGCAGGCGCATTCCGCTGGTGGAGATGTCGAGACCCAGCTCGGGTGGGAGACGGGGACGGGTGGGATACGACTTCGGCTCTGTAACATCAGCTCTGGTACTCGAGGCTCACGACGTGTTTTTAAACTTTGCAGATCTGGCAGAGTTTCGCAAGGTTTTCGCCAAAGCAAAACACATCGCCATCATCACGGGGGCCGGTGTGAGCGCTGAAAGCGGTGTGCCCACCTTCAGGGGAGCCGGGGGTTACTGGAGGAAATGGCAGGCCCAGGTGAAACACACACGCAGGAGCACACTTTGTGGTCTCTTGGACAATCATGACATTTACTGCAAGTACAGCAGTATATGTATATATCAGCCATTAATGTATCAAAAGAGAGGGATCATCAACACAAATGCGGAATCGCTCAGTTAAGATTACAGGAGTACTGACATCTCTACAGTTCCATACTGTGGGAATGCCACAGCATAACTGCAATAAAGTACTTTGTTACTGTGTAGAAATACGCATTGTTTCCGGACTGAATGGCTTTGTAACCTCAGTGGTGAGTTTCTCCTGGAGCAGGAGGTATGCTGTTGTCACAAGTGCAGTTAGTTTAATGTATCAGCTCAATGGGTGTCTGTGAGACTTCCATTTATGGCCCCCCAGGACCTGGCCACGCCCGAGGCCTTCTCACGGAACCCATCACGTGTCTGGGAGTTCTACCACTACCGGCGCGAGGTGATGCTGAGCAAGAGCCCCAACGCGGCGCACAGCGCCATCTCCGAGTGCGAGGCGCGGCTCAGCCGGCAAGGCCGCTCCGTGGTGGTCATCACCCAAAACATCGACGAGCTGCACCGGCGTGCCGGCTCGCGGCACGTGCTGGAGATTCACGGTGAGGTGGGGGTGGGTGGAGCCCACAGTATGATTGCCTAAATCGGTGTTTCCCAGCCCAGTCCTCAGGGACCCCCCCCAGACAGCCCACATTTTTGCTCCCTCCCAGCTCCCAGCACCTGTACCAGGTATTTGGGGTTCTTGATTGACTGGGTTGGGAAGTACCGCTCTAAATGCCCTTTGCATTTTCTGTAGTCTATTATTATTATTTGATATGTGTCTGAGGTTCTAAATGAGTTATTATCCTGGAGTATTACCCCAGAGATGTGCCATAAGAATCTTCTGTAAAAAAAACAGAATTTCCAGTGCTGATGATCTGGTAAACAGTGAAAAGCAGATATACAGGGAAGTGAATGTGTTGTACTTGGTGTAAAAGCACTTACTAACTCTTGCCAGACTAGCTCAATTGGTGCTTGGTGCCAATGGAAACAGCAAATCGCATATGCTAGAGCATTCAGCATTGCTGAATGTAAAACCTATGTTTGGTAGCGTTTAGCTAACTAGCTATCACCCTGCTCTTGTCATTTCCAGGAAGTCTCTTCAAAACACGGTGTGTCAACTGTGGGCATGTGGCGGAGAACTACAAAAGCCCGATATGTGCTGCCCTACATGGGAAGGGGTGCGGACACTTGCTGGTTTAACTGGTGCTCTAGTTCTGGTTCTGTTTGAAGAACAGGACAGAGTCTTGATTGTCTGTTTTTCTTTTTATTGCAAGGGCTCCTGATCCAAATACAAGGGATGCCAAGATTGCCGTGGAGGACCTCCCCAGGTAGGTGATTTACAGAAGAGAGCCATGTGTTTATGACATTCAGGCTAATGTAACTGGTGCAGATCAGTACCTCGTAGAATGGTGTAGTATCTCATTATTGTACCACTAGAGGGCACTGGAGCAACGTCTGTAAATGACCCCCAGCTTTAAGTGGAGTTTACAGCACCCTGCCCCTGTCTGTATAGCTATATTTAACCTAGTAAGTTATCTCTCTAAGGCTGTATTGATAAGATTTTTGCTAATATTTGGTCCCATGAAGGGAATATGTCTGATGCCTTGTCTTTTAGCTGGGTAAGTGCTTCCTCAGTGGCCAAGACTGGTGTGTATCCTTCCTCAGGTGTGAGGAGGACAGCTGCAAGGGTCTTCTTCGGCCCCATGTTGTCTGGTTTGGGGAGACCCTAGACCCTGATATCCTGACCCAGGTGGAGAAGGAGCTGGAGATCTGTGATCTCTGTCTTGTGGTGAGAACGACAGACTGCTGATGCCAGCCCCACCTCCTGTTAACACATTTGCCCCGCCCCCTTGGAAGCAGTCCCGTCTGATAGAGCTGATTCCACACCATACTGCGCACGCGTCTTTTTAGTGGCACAAGTCTCACGTCGCTTTGATGGCATTTAACCCTTCGAGAACCCTCGAAAATCTGGCCTGTTCAGTTCTTAGGTTCAAGCATCTGCAGTATTTCCTATACCAGAATGTTCTCAGATGTTGTAAACCTGTGGTTCTCAACCTTTTTGCACAGCAACCCAATTTTTACTATGCCAGCTCAGTCGCGACCCTATATCAAGCATAGGTTTGCGTTAAATAATATAATTGCTATAATCAAGCACGCAATGCACTCTGCAATTTACAGCAATCAATGCCTATCACACAAATCTGATTGGATGTGCCAGTGAATTTTAAATTAAGTATCTGTGTTTTGGCTTCTTGGATTGGCTGAGTGTTCACTAGTTTTGCGCTAAGCATTTACAGACCCAAGACCCGTTTATATAGGTTAATTCTAGGATTGGGGCTGAGAAATCTGACTGTGGATCAGAATAGGAGCTTGCAGGTTTTAAAATGCTAACATTTCCAACTCTGCATCATGACCCTTTTAGAACTTGTCACGACCCACGGTTGAGAATCTCTGTTAAAAATGATTAGATGCCTTTCTACGGCAAATTTGTCCTAATCTTGGTGCTGCATTTGAGTGTGGTGCACAGGCTGACCCAGATGAAGGAGTTCTGTGTTTCACAATGCCAGCCATCAGGGGGCACTATTGGGTTGGAGCCTGGTCGAACCCACACCACTGGTTCAGTTTTCCCTGCTCGGGGTCCTAACAATGTTCTCTGTGGTCTGCAGGTGGGGACCTCCTCTGTGGTGTACCCGGCAGCCATGTTCGCTCCCCAGGTGGCCGCCAGAGGGGTCCCGGTCGCAGAGTTCAACATGGAAACTACGCCTGCCACCATGCGCTTTGCGTGAGTTGGGGGGGGGGGGCTGGGATACATGACTCATGCAGGATGTCAAATTGCTGCCAAGCTGAATTGGTAAATGTATCGAGAGAGTCCAGCTTTCATTTTAAAATATATACTTCTGACCAAACAGACCTTAAATAAGCTTTTTAATGGTTATGTGGAGCAAAAAGGTAATTGTTTGGTACATGGAAAAAGGGAGTTTAATCAGTAACTTTAGGTGTGGGAACACTGGATTCCGTTGTGGGGGATTCTGGGTAAAATATCTCAGATTCCAGTCAGAGGGAGGCTGGGTTAATATGATTTACTTGACTAACTTCTGGGGTGGCATGGCAGTTTAGTGAGTGGTGTCGTTGTCTTGCTACTCCACCTCTGCTCTGTGTGTGGAGTTTGCATGTTTTTACCGTATTCTTGACCTTCTCCCACAATCCAAAAGCATGTAGTTATTCTAATTTGCCTGAGTGAGTGTGTGTGTTTGCGTGCACATGACCTGCAATAGCCCGGCTTCCCTGCTGGGTGTATCCCTACCTCGTGCCCTCTGCTGCCTGGGACAGGCTCCAGGAATGCTGTCCTTGTGGAGCAGACTTTGGCCTGGCTCTTGGGGCAGGTAGTTGCACATGGCGGCCCATTAAACAGACCTGGCGCAGAGGCCTTTGGCTCCACACTCTGCTCTGTCTTGACGTGGCTTTGCTCCGAGGCTCGGCCTTTGTGTCGGCCCTTTGTTCATGACATATTTATGTTAAAATAACCCTTTTCTGCCCCCTGGTGGATGGTTTGTTCATTATTTTTTTCCATTTGTAAAGTGTGTCAGGTGTAAGCCACAAACTAGCCACAGCAAAGCCTGGATGGTGCAAGCTCTTACCCCCCCACCCTGCGCTGTGTGTGGGTGGGGGTTATCTTGACACTAGTCCAGTGCTAGTGCTGGCGGGGGTCCTTAGAGGTTGGGCTGCAGGCCAGGCGGAGGTTGGCACATTTTCCACCCTGAATAATTCATTTCATTTTGGTGGGGGGTGTCTGCAGGTTCCACTTCCAGGGCCCCTGTGGGACCACGCTCCCCCCCGCCCTGGAGCGCCATGAAACGGAAGTCATCTGAGGAGAGAGGGGAAGCTGGCACCCCCCCAGAACAAACTCGCACTTTGGGAAGACTACAGTGCCTATTGATGTCATCTTCCGTGATGCAATACGTTATTTAACAAATATTAACAATGTGTCCAGAATCTGCATTATCACACGTTTATAAATTTGTGTTAGTTTTTAGGGATGGGAGGGTTGTGTTAAATGTAACCTCAAAGTCTGTCCCTTTGAATACTTTATTGCTGGGTTTGCCTGACGCAAAGTCAACTGGTGGGGGGTGGGGGGCGACTCAGGTGACAAATACTATGGCCCTTAGATGCAGGTTTATGAATTGTTTGTATTTTCCAAATCACCATCAGTAAATTAATGTTTACTTACCTTAGCTGTAATCAAGTTCAAGCCATAGAAGTCATCAAGCAAAGAATCGTAGTACTTTCACAGCTGGAAAATGTTATAGGAAGTTGCGGGATGAACCCCCGCTTACCCCCGGAAGTGCAGGGATAATGGACTTTGCGATAAATTGCTGTTGTGTTGGTGCTTTGAATGCGGCAGCTTGAGTTGGACCGCTCCCCAAACTGCGGGAGGCGTCCTGCTGCCGGAGTGGGTGTGCCGCGTACTGTCTGTGCGATGCTTTTAAAACTCACCCCTTATTGGGTAAGGGTTGCTGAATATGCCTAACGCCAGTGTGCAATCATGGGAATATGCAATATTAATACGTTATAAACATCACTTTGTGCGTGTATTGTTTTTTTCACGGTATTTTTTTAATGAAGAGTCATTTGAAATATGCAGATTCCATGGAAATGAATATACATTTGTATCCTAGCCAATAATAAGCTATTTTTACGAAGGGTGGAAGTCCTGACTATGAATAGATTTGACAGCAGGATCCTGTATTAAGCATTCTCCATACTGAGCGTTTAACAGCTGACACTGAAATGGCAGAGCCTTGCTGGCGTGCCGCTTTATTTCCAAACCGTGCTGCGCTTGTTCCTGTCTTCGTGGGATTTTTTTTTTAATCCCACCGGGGTTTCTCATGTGCTTGCTGTCTTTAAATCCAATGTGAATGAAAGGCAAATGTGCATTCAGGACTGTTCTTTATTTCTAAAAATGGCATATTTTGATGAATTGTCATACTACTAATACTAATATGATATATTTTCAGTTTGCGATTGGCTTAAGGTTTTTTTTGTTTTCTAACATTCTAACATTTTCTAACCGCTAATCCACCACAGGGTTGTGGTGGTTAGGCTTTGAATCTGTTAGGGGTGGTAATTAAGATTCATGGTTTCACATCAGTACACCGGCCTGAAAGTTCACGATTTAAAAAGTGTGCACCAGGTACGATTTGGGAACTCTGAATACTCGATGAAATCCGATTTATTAATAGGCCTATGTACAAAGTATAGGCCTTATTCCTTTTAGTGTTTTAGAATTGTGGCCAATAATTTTTAGCCAGTAATTTCATACTTGGCACTTTTTAAAATCTGTTTCTGTATCGATACCATACTACCTAGATTACATGGCATTCTATTCTTTTGTATCGCGTTGAATCAAATCGTGTCGAGCCGCTTTACATCGCAATAGGTCTAAACTGCATCGCATTACTAGTTGTTTTATAGGTATCTTTAATGATTCGGATCATTGGAAATTCATCGAGATGTTCATCGCATCGGCCTCAGTGATGGAGCTAAGGGCTGCCAATGACGACTACTTTTCTAAAGATTAATCCTTTGACTGATTTATGAATTGGTCGATTAATCTAAACGATTAATCTTCCTCCAGAAAATTTACCTGCCCGTTTAATTTAAGTTGTATGCAGGTGTTCCGGGCAATTCAGTTTCCCTATGTTTCCCCTGTCGCGCGCTGATTTGTACACGGTTTCGCTGTTGTTTTCATGTCTTTTTACGAAGCTCTCGAGGTAAACAGGCCGTATATTTTAAAACATCACATGCCTTTTCGATGTTTTTTGTTTTTACAGATAAGTGAAAATATTTAAATCGCTGGATAGACATATTTCTTGATGAAAACGGTATAGTATTGCTTATAAGACTATATTATGCGTGACGATCTACTGTATTCACATGTAATAATGTACCTCAGTGATTTTCAGACATCTCACATACATATTTGCCTAAATATTAGGAGAAATATTATTTCCTGACATCCAGGATATTTGGTTCCCCCTTGTTAAAACAGGTATACAGCAACTCTGGGCCTCGGTACTAATAACAATACAGTATTCACATGTAATAATGTACCTGATTGATTTTCAGACATTTCACATACCTCTTTGCTTTAATATTAGGGGAAACATTATTTCCTGATAGACAAGGGAAACATAGGGAAACCGAATTGCCCGGAACACCTGCTTTTCGGCACTATAGCCTTCGCAGATCATATTTGCCCACATTTCCATAAGCAGATTAGTATTACGCATAAGCATACTAATGAGATACTGTGATGCCCAAAAGTTGTATGTCTGTATACATTTGGCTTATCCTCATGCTTAATAAATTCGGGTAGCGGAGCACGCCACATACGACACAAGCGATAAGCACTGAACCCGCGACGAAGGAAGGGAAAGATCACCACCTTTTAAAAGACGAGATACTGTGGTTAAACAAGGTTAAAAAATGGTGGTGGTGTGGTCCCAACGAGTCCAACGTGCACAAACTTACTCACTAGCACCGTCAGTCAACGTAGAACAAGCCCATATTTTAGCCTAAACATTTTCACAAACACTTATTCAATGAAGATTCTAATCTAAAAGGCAAATTTATGGTTTTAATAATGCGTGTGTTTAGCACATACAGGGACAAAAGACATTAAAAAGCTCTCCGTTCTAATGCTAATTTAATAAACATGAATAGAGAGCACTTACTGTGGTTTTGCCTACTCTAGCGGTCCGGCCATCACCCAGAATAGCGCCTGTGGGTCACACATAGCGCTAGTGCCAACGTAGTATGCCATTGCGCTTAGCACAGTGTAAAACCACCTTTTTGTTTTGTGATCATTTGAAGTACTCGCATAATTATACAGTGACATTAAAGGAAAACATCTGTTATGATGGATTGAAGCGTTTTAGAAATCATGAAGGTCATTATATTAAAATAATAAAAAAGATCAGTCGATTTAAAATGCTGATGTCGACGTCGACTAAATGCGGAAGCCCTAATGGAGATGCACATCCCTAGAATCTACACCAAGAAGCACAGGACGCCCTGTACGGGAAACGGGTCAATCAAGCCATTTTGGTTTAAATAATGTGTTGACCGTAAGTTAGGTGAGCCCTTTGATTATGCGGGTACAACTATAGTCCCCTAATTGGAGCTTTGATTGGGTGGTTATGAGATTATTTCCCAGATGCTGTAATTATCCTGTAAAGATCCTGTAATTATCGCGTAACTTCTGTGTGAATAGAACGTGTCTTTAATTGATCGCAATCGTCTGTGCACCTCAAGCTGCAGGACAAATTAGGAGTGGGCTGTAATTGAGAGTAATCAGTCATTGTTCAGAGGATATGAACTCTCAAGCAACCTAAGTAGTTAATAATTTAATTGGCTGTAATTATGTTTGTCACGGTAGTATTAATTTTTAAAAATACTCCGTTCCTCTACACTTAAGCGGAATAGTGGATTTTTTTGGTTGTTATATCAGTATAATTATACGTTTCAAAAACTTGCAATAAAATCATTAAATGTACATAATTATTCATATTTCTTTTGACAGGGAATTTAACTTGTCCTAATTAAATTGGAGTGGCTGAACAGAAGTCCACGGGGGTCTGAATTAGGGATAAGCGGGTCAATATTGCGGGATCAATACTTAGATATTCACAAGCTGCTCATTTGGTGTCGATTCCTTTAAAAAGATATCAACGACAAAATTATTGTAATTATATAAATACAAAACGTTTGTGGCTGCATCACTTTCAGTTTTGTATAACGTTTGTGCCAAAACAGCCCTGACTTCAGCTGGCCCATGTCACATGATTTATAGTATTTTGTAAAATACTGGACTATTTTTTTACACTTATGAGCACAAACATTTTAATTGTTTAATTGTACTCGTATTTGCTTTTGTAATTTGTTATTAATGGATGGTATGTGTCACGTAATTGGCCTTTAAGTGCAATGATATTTTTTCTAAAAATTACCATTGTTTTGAAAAAAATCAGATACCCATTTAATTAAGAAAACATCGGAATCAGTGTCATTATATATAATTGTGACAAAGAGCGTCAGTATTATATTGAATTGAAGAAGTGTGGTATTGCCTTTCCCTAGTCTGAATAAATCAACAAACAAGGTAACATGTCTCCTTATTTACTCCTCTGTGTCACCTGGCGAGAAAAATGGCAAGCTATTGTGTAATCATTCATGGCTACATGATGATACACTATATGGACGAAAGTATTGGGACACACCTCTTAATCATTGAAATCAGGTGCATAAAATCAAGCATCTAGCCATGCAGTCAGATTTGTTAAGTCATTCTGAAGAGCTCAATGAATTCAAGTGTGGTACTGTCATAGGCTGCAACCTTTGCAGAAAGTCAGTTAATGAAATTTCTTCTCTACTAGATATTCCATGATCAACTATAAGTGGTATTATTGCAAAGTGGAAGTATTTAGGAACAACAGAAACTCAGCCAAGTGGCAGACCATGTGCAGAGTGCAGGAGCGCTGGGTGCTGAGGCACATAGCGTGTTAAAGTCACCAACACTCTGTTGACTCAATAAATGCAGAGTTCCAAACCTACTCTGCCAGCACAAAAAACGGTGTGCCGGCAGCTTCATGGAATGGGCATGGTTAGGCAGCTGCATGCAAGCCTCACATCACCAAGCACAGTGCGAAGTATCGAATGGAGTGGTGTAAAGCAATCTGCCACTGGACCCTGGAGCAGTGGAAATGTGTTCTGTGGAGTGACAATTCACGCTTCTCTGTCTGGTAATGTGATGGACAATGCTGGGTTTGATGGATGCCAAGAGAACGTTACCTCTTATGCCAGGAGGGATAATGGTATGGGGTTGTTTTTCAAGGGTTGGGTTAGGCCCCTTAGTTCCAGTGAAGGGAACTCGTAACGCTTCAACCTACCAAGACATTTTGGACAATTTTATGCTTCCAACTTTGTGGGAACAGTTTGGGGAAGGACCTTTCCTGTTCCATCATGACTGTGCCCCTGTGCACAAACCAAGGTCCATAAAGACATGGCTGGGTGAGTTTGGTGTGGAAAAACTTGACTGGCCCACACAGACCCCGGACCTCAACCCCGTCAATCATCTTTAGGATGAACTAGAAAGGAGAGTGCAAGCCTGGCATTTACATCCATCATCAGTGCCTGACATCACAAATGCTCTTCTGGATGAATGGGCAAAAATTCCCACAGACACACTCCAAAATCCTGTGGAAAGCCTTCCCAGAAGCAGCTGTTATACCTGCAAACAGTGGACCAACTCCATATTGATGCCTATTGATTTAGAATAGGATGTCATAAAAGTTCTTCTACATGTAATGTCCAGGTGTCCCAATCCTTCTGTCCATATAGTGTAGAGCAGGGATGCCCAATACGTCGATCGTGATCTACTGGTCGATCGCGAAGGTATTCTGGGTAGATCGTATGCATAAAAAATAGAGGATGGATGACGTGTTCGACCGCGCCAGCTACTGCAAAACTTCTGCTGAGTCGCCTAGTTAGCCTCCAATTTATTTCTACTAAACTTAAGAA